CTGCTTCCATGTGCTGGTCAGCTTGTGTTCCCCTGTGTTATCTCTGGTACTGAATTCTTGGAAAAAGACTACTGTTATCTGGCCAACCGGTATTGTATGGATTTAGGCACAAATGAACTTTGAACCTTTTGCCATGTCTTCACTTCCAGGTTCCCCTTGGTGGTGTGTACTTAAGAATTTCGAGGGCGGAGGATGCCAGATAAATATTTTGCAGTTGTTTTATGTATTGAATAGAGCTAATGATATGTTTATTTTTTTTAATGCAACATTTTCTATATTTACCTCCCAAATAGATCAGAATTATCATCTCAAATGTCTTTTTTGCTTGGGTGTGATCCAAGAGTGGTTTGCCTACCCATCTGAACTAGAGGCCCTTAATAGAAAAAAGGTTCCTCCCCCACCACCACCCCAGTCCAGCCACTCCAGCCACTCCAGCCTGGCCCACAGTGTGAAGTTTAGGATCACACAGGGTCTGGACAAGACGAATGCAGGGCACTCAGCACATGGGCAGAAGCAATTCGAGCATTCAGTAAAGTCCATACATTGCTAGAGCAGGAGGAAATGCCAGTATGCGCATCCGCATTGCTAGAGATCACAGGTGTACTGTATCATAGGGAGTTGAAATGAAACTTAATTACATAATTTTGTCACTACCTGGGTCGTGGCTGTGACTGCCTGTAAAATTTAGACGTGTCATCAGTAACCTGTGGCATTTGCAGACAGAACTGTCCCCCGTGGAATCTCTGTACCACTCTCGCCTCCAGGCGGGACGGTGGAGAGGAGGGCTTCTGCTGTGTCACTGGAGGGCCAGTGTGACCACTAGGCACCGTGCTCTGTCTGAGAGGTGTGACATACAAGACCAGCCCTGCCTCAGTGTTTCCTCAGTCACAGTCATGGGGAGGTGCTGGCAGTTTGGAAGGAAAACTTGCACCAGCCTATTGAGGTTTGGGGCTGGGAAGTCGGGGGAGAAAGGAATCCACCAAGGGTCACAGCCGAGCAGCCAGAGCTGCTTGCTGAGCAGAGCTGACACCTAGGCTTCCATTCTGCCAAATGGCAAGCCTGGAGCTGACACTCAACCGTCAGATTGAAGAGGAGGAGAGTGGGTCTCAGCCCCATGCTCCCAGCACTCAAACTATTCGACTCAGTCAAGGCAGCACACATCACTCAGGCAACACGTTCTGGACTCACTCGGGCTTTCCACGCTGCACGGAGCGGTATTTTTTCAGAATGAATATTTTGCGGGTGTCTGCCCAGCTTGTGAGCCAAGAACCCCCTCTTTCTCTTGAGTGTGTCCTACTCCCATGCACAGGATGTCAGGTAGCGTGTGACCCAGACCCCAGGGCAGGGATGGAGAAGGGACCCCGGTGGGCCAGAATCCCTCCAGTAAAAATGAAAAACAGGAGCAAAGAGAGTCAACAGGCCCCACAGAGGTGTGGGGTGGGGCGTCCTTCATGGCCACGCGGGCTGAAGAGCAGACTCAAGAGGGAGCAGAGGCAGAACAGAGACAAGGTCTTGGAACGAGACTCCTGGTTCCAGACCCTTCTAAAGGCTCAACCACGTTTTGCTCCTGGGTTCCTCGAGACACTTTCCATCCTTTTAATAAATTTCCTTTAAAAATTTTTTTTCAATTGAAGTACAGTCAGTTTATAACGTTGTGTCAATTTCTGGTGTACAGCATAATATTTCAGCCATACATGTATATACATATGTTCCTTCGCATATTCTTTTTCAGAATAGGGTCCTGCAAGATACTGAATATAGTTCCCTGTGCCACCCAGTAGAAACTTGCTGTCTATCCGGTTTTGTGAGGATTTTCCTTGTATTTCCGATCGTAAGAGACATTGTGCCGAAGTTCAGGAGGTATTCTGTGGGAGCCGTTCCCCATCTAGACAGAGGTTTGATGTACTTGTGGGAGAAGGAGAGCTACACGTCCTTCTACTCCGCCGTCTTGGCAACCTCTTCTCCTTAATTTTTTTTAAGTTAAAAATAAAAAATGGAAAAAGAATAAGGGCTTGCGGGCTATTAGCCTTTCTAGGCTGGTCCATACCACAGTCCAGCCCTGTATGTGGCCTTTCTCGTCTCTCTTATCGGAAATATCTCTCATTCAAGTTACTACTTTGAGCCATATAACAAAGTGTTGGCTACTTAAGGCTAATTAAATATGTGTGTGTTCCAAGGAGGAAGGACCCCTTGGGACGTCCAGGACAAGGACATCCCTGCTGGCCCTTTTCTAACAAGCTTCAGGGAGTTTAGGTCCTCACTCAGGGTCAAGGTCAGAACAGAGACAGCCCCTCCTGGAGGACCTGAACAAGTGTATATCCTTGTGGCCAAGGAAGTCAGGAAGCATGGCATTGACTAAGAGGGTTGGCCACCGAGCAGGAGGGAGGAAGGGTTCACAGTGTAACTTCCTTCTGCGTGTGTTGCCTTGGGCCAGCCCTGTATTTCTCCGGTAATGAAAGATTCCCTTTGTCTCCCACCTTCAGTAACTATAACCATGTGTTCCATGGGTCCAAGGTCTGTGCCTTATTCAAATTTGTGCTCCTGGGACCTACCCAGGAACCTCTGGGCACTGCACAGACTGGACATGTAGTAAACGTTTGTTGAATGAGATGTTCTTCTGTATGTACATATTTCAACTTCTACTCCGATCTGGTTTAAATCTTTTCCTTTGGGCTCAGAAAGCCTTTTGAAGGTACTGATGTGATGAGGCACTGTGGTAGGTTCAGTAGTAAGGGCTGCATAGGATGATTTCTGCCTCCTCAGAGTTTGTAATTTAAAAAAGACATGACATTGCCTTCGAACAAAAAGGACTCCCACCCCTGCAACGTGACTAATTCGATGACTTGTAGAGTTTCTGCACTGGCGTTGTCGCGGGAAATAGAGCTTGGGTCAGGCTGCCCTCTTTGTCCTCTTCACACTCACCCATTTCCCAGCATGTCTCCTCATTACCACTTGACATTTATTTGTGTGATGATCTGTCATCCCCTTTAACTCTTGGGCTCCATGTGGGGAGGGATATGTCTGGAGAAGCTCATCATTGAAGCCCCAGGAGCCAGAACAGTCTCATGGGAGGTGCTCAGTAAGTATTTGCTCCATACAAGGATAAATGAGTGACTGCTGGGTTGCATGCCTGGTAGAAGTCAAAGCTGCAACCAGAAGTGGAGACGAAGCCAAGCAGATCTCCAACCCGCACATGATAAAGCACGAATGGCTTCTCAGAGAAGGGAGGGAACTCATCTTGTGCTAGATGCTGTACATGCATGGTCAGACTTTCCTCAGAAGCAAAAAGCAGCAGCCCATTTTACAGATAAGAAAACCGAGGGTCCGTAGGTTAAGATTTCTCCCAGTCATACCAGCTAATAAACAGAAATACTAAGATTCTCACTCAGGGCTACCTGGCTACACTCTCACAGTAGTTTTCCCCCATCTTCATGTAGCCTCAGTAAGTCGTTATGTTTGGCTTAGAAAAAAGAGTGGTGGGAACAGACAAAGGGAGCTTGAGACAAGAGTGACCAAGTTGAGTCAGGAAGGCCTAGGATGCCAGGTAAAGGACACCTGGAAATCCAGCTGGGTAATAGCCAGGTCACTAGACAAGAAGATTCTTTTTTCCAAAGCTACCAGGGATTCCGCCCAAAACTTGTGCTGCATGGAGACCCCACCACAGAGTCCAGTTAGAGAACCACGTAGAGCTGAGGACCCAGGTTTTTCTTTGTACAGCACCTGGTACTAACTGGTGTAAGTTAAGTGATACTTTTTGACATCCCTACATCCAAGTAGAAAATGAAAAGAAAATGAAGTAAATCCATTCCCTGAAGCCAGAAGTCAGACCAGCCACCCTGAATCTACCTCCTCCCGCGGCCAGAATAAGCACTCTAGGATGGAAATCAGCTTATGTGCCCCACTCCTTCCTTCAGCAACCCCCACCCCATCTCCCACACAAAATCCTTCCATAGCTCCTCCTGGACCAGTCAACAGATGATAAAGACTAAACTCCTCAGTCCAGCACACACTGCCCATAATAATCTGGCCCTACCTGTGTGAGAGCATCTCCTGCCTCACGGCCCCCATCCCCACCATTTTGTAATTACTCCACAGCTCCCACCCTATGAGCTTTCAATGCTTCTGGGACTGAAACATCCTCCTCTCTGCTGCTAGTCCCCTTGGGAGGGGAGCTCCTCCAGGAAGCCTTCCTTGCTTCCACGGTGTCCAGACAGAGCCCCGACCTCCGTGCTCCTGATGGGTTGCACGTTCCCCGGGGCGATATGTGTCTTCTGTCCTAATGACACACTGTCTGTCTCCACCAGACTTCCTCTCGCCTGTGGCTAGGAAACAGCCTTTCGTCAGTCATCTCCAGCATCTAATGTGAGACGTGGCAAACGTGGTGGGCTCTGGACAAACAACTGCCGAGCATGTGTTTGTCCTAACAATGCCCACAAGCAAGTAGGGCTGGACTCGTGATAAGGGTTGAAGTGAATCTTTAAGGTAGATTTTTTCCAAATCAAGATTGGCTGCTACAGTCTTAACAGACATGCGTCTTTCCCATTTCCTTGTGGACAAAGTTACCTTTGTTAGCTATACTTTAATTTTGTTTTAAGAAGTCCACTGAATCACACAGATACGAGGGGACGGACTAGATTCACACAAATTAATTCTTAGACTCACGATCCAGAATATAGTGGAAGCCGGGAGCCACAAAGGAGCAAGCCTGGAGAGCTGGGGTGCAGCCCAGAGGGGATGGGCAGCTCAGCTCTGCCCGCGGCATCTATTTCCGGCTCCCCAAACTCCTTTCTGCCACCAAGGGTTCTTTGTTGGTCAGAGGTGAGTTTCCAGACCCACTGCCAACCATGTGGCTTAGTTTTGGGTAGTGGACGGTGACGCCCCTTCCCTCCTCTCTTCTGGAGACGGGTTTGAAGTCCACATGAGACACAGGAGTAGATACTAGTTATGCTTCTCAAGTCCCTGCAACCTTCAGCCTTCATCAAAGTCATCTCTGTCCCTAGGAGTCAGATTCCAAAGGACATTAAAGAAAGGTCACCAGAGTTGCTGCAAAAGGCTACATCCCCTGCACCCACCACAGGAGGGAGGATGACTGCCCACGCAGAGCCCACACAAGAGGCCAGCACGTTGGACACAGCCCCCGAGGCCACAACCCGCACGGCTGGCGAGGGCAGAGCAGAGGCCAGCAAGGCCAGTGCGGAGGAGCCACACAGAGCACACAGGACAGCCAGGACGGCAGCCCCAGAGATGCAGGAGACAAAGGACGCCATGCAGGACACGCTGCCCCTGGGAAGCCAAGGCGGGGGGCTGGCCTCTGGCAGGACGGAGGCGCCATCGCTGAACAAGCAGGACACAAGGACGAGCAGAGGACCAGGGGACCAGAAGGCGAGGCCGGCAGCCTCGAGGACGGTGCCCGTGAAGCCTCAGGGCGGAGCGGCAGTGTCATCAAGGATGCCCCTTCTGGGAAGTCAGGCCGGGGTGAGGACCCCCGCAAGAGCCAGGCCAGCAGGGAGGGGAGCCAGAGGAGCCACCACAGCGGCTACCCCACCCGAGAAGAGAGCCCAGGCCACCCGGTCCTCGGCCCCTCTCCAGGGGCCCACCACCCAGAGAGGCCAGAAACTGCGGGCCGCCAACTTCAAGTCTGACCCGCGGTGGGATTTTGAGGAAGAATACAGCCTGGAGGTGGGGGGCCTCAAGACGGTGAGTATTTCTTCTCCCACCTTTGAGGCCCCTCCTGGCAGAAACCCACCCCGACCCTCTCCCTTCCCTCCCAGGCTCTGACACTAAGCTCTGCCTTACTCACTCATGCTCCCCCCGACACTACTCTCACACCCCCTCTCCTTCCTGTAACGGCAGAGGGGTGAGGCGGGGAAGGCAGGCCCCAGAATCATGGCCCTGGGCAGCAGGCGGGGTTGTGAGCCAGAAGGGCTGCCCTGAGCCCGAAGGAGGCCCGGTGGGTCATCCACTGGGGTGGGAAAGTGTGACTTGCATGGGAACCCCATCCTCCAGCAGGGGAACGGGGCCCAGATGGACAGGGACCAAGGGAGAAGGACACCCCAACCCAGTGCCCAGCCCTCATACCCTGTCCTCCCTGCATAGATAATTGCATGACGCATCCTCTCTTCTACCCAAAGAAAAACAGCCAGGGCCACAGGCACAGGAGGGAAGCCTTCAGAATAGGGCTGTTTACACACGTAACTGTAACCACGCACAGCACACGGGAACACGCAGCCCATCCGCAGGCCAGGCCACGCCACCCCTCTCACACGTGGGCAGGTGCATTTGCCTTGAGGGCCGAGAACCACCCGTCTCTGGGAGCCCTCCTGGCCACAGTGGGCCTGGACGCTGGCCAGGGCGGGGCCAGGAGGCCCGGGAGTAGGGTGCAAGAGGTAGCGGAGGCAGTGCCTTCCCCACTTTGAAGCCTGCTTTCTGCCCCTGGCCCCCCACCCCCCAACCCTGCCCCGCCCCTGGTCCTGGCCTTCTCGGGCCTCTCCCTGCCTGACTCGGCCTCCTGCACGCAGACTTGCCCTGACTCGGTGAAGTTCAAAGCCTCCAAGTCACCCTGGCTCCAGAATCTCTTCCTGCCTAACCTCACCCTCTTCCTGGACTCCAGACACTTCAACCAGAGCGAGTGGGACCGCCTGGAGCACTTCCCTCCACCCTTCGGCTTCATGGAGCTCAATTTCTCCCGTGAGTCCTCGCCCCAGGGGCCTGGCTGTGGGCTAAGGGCCGCTGCTTTTTGTCTCTGATCCGCCTCTTCCCTGGGGGCCACCAGCCCTGGGAGAAATGATGGGCCAGACCGTTGCCCCTTCCAGGGCTTTGAATGGAGCCCCTTTTGTTGCAGTGGTGCAGAAGGTCGTGACACGCTTCCCGCCAGTGCCCCAGCAGCAGCTGCTCCTGGCCAGTCTCCCTGCTGGGAGCTCCCAGTGCATCCGCTGTGCCGTGGTCGGCAACGGGGGGATCCTGAACAACTCTCACATGGGCCAAGAGATAGACAGCCATGACTACGTGTTCCGGTGAGCCGTCTGTCCCCGGCCCTCCTCCAGCCCCTCTCCTGCCAAGCTGGGCTCTTCAGAGAGATCTGATGGGGAGTTCTGTGTTGGTCTCCGGCAGGTGCCGTTTCTGGGCTCTCTAGGGAATTTCTGTAAATATGTGCCACCTCCCTATTTCTCCTTCCTTTCCCTGCCCACCTCCACGCATCTCCCTCCTACACTCACATGGCCTGTCTGATTTTGTCTTTCTGTACAGACTGAGTGGAGCTATCATTAAGGGCTACGAACAGGATGTGGGTACTCGGACGTCCTTCTACGGCTTTACTGCCTTCTCCCTGACCCAGTCACTTATTATATTGGGCAGTCGAGGTTTCCGGCACGCACCTCTGGGGAAGGTGAGCAAAGAGGAAAGGGCCTGGCCACACAGAGACTCTGGATGAGGGAGGATGCAGGTGAGACAGGGAGACGAGCATCCTGTGTCTGGAGTCTGTGGTCAGTACAGGCCCTGATTGTGTGAGGGGCAAGAGCAAGGAGGGCAGCCAGGCCAGGGCTGAGAAGAGCAGGCAGGCAGTCTGGAGTCAGAGCCAGGCCACCCCACTGAAGGCAGGACTCCTGGACCACACGCTGTCCTTGGTCCTCAGGATGTCCGCTACCTGCACTTCCTGGAAGGCACCCGGGACTACGAGTGGCTGGAAGCACTGCTTCTGAATCAGACCCTGGTGAAAAAGAGCCTTTTCTGGTTCAGGTACCCACCCTCCACCTTTACCCCAGGCTGAGCTGGGTAGTGAGCAGCTGTGAAGGGCTGGACAGGGCGGGAAAGTCTTAGCTATCATGCGGAGATGGGGTCCCAGGTGTGCCCCTGACCCTTACTTGGCCCACACCAGGTGAGGTAAGAGATCTGAGCCTGAATGACCCATTCCTGCCACAGGCACAGGCCCCAGGAGGCCTTCCGGGAAGCCTTGCAGCTGGACCGGTACCTGTTACTGCACCCAGATTTGCTTCGATACATGAAGAACAGGTGAGATGAGAAAGCACCTGGGTTGGGAGGACAAACTCGGAGTTCAGGATTTGCAGATACTGACTACCATATATAAAACAGATAATCAACAAGGTCCTACTGTATAGCATAAGGAACTATATTCAATATCCTGCAATAATCTACATCAAAAAAAAGAGTATGAAATGGAATATATATGTATATGTAAAATTGAATCACTATTTTGTACACCAGAAATTAACACGACATTGTAAATCAACTATACAACTGAAAAAAAAGAAAAAGAAAAAGAAAGCACATGGAAGGGACCAGGTCCCTCTCATCCTTGCAAGGCCCTGACGGCTGGGGGCTGGGGTGTTTCAGATTCCTGAGGTCTAAGACTCTGAACAGCGTCCACTGGAGAATATACCGGCCCACCACGGGGGCCCTCCTGCTGCTTACCGCCCTTCAGCTCTGTGACCAGGTGAGGCCCCTCCCTCTCTCTGCGTGTGTATGGGCACAACCTAGAGAAACAGCTCCGGGGTGCTCCTGGGCCTGTTCAGCACCAGAAGATGGCTGGGCTGGGGGCACACCCCTCTGGGCTGGGGGTCGTGGAGTGAGTGTGGATACATGCAGACGTGCAAGTGTGCATCCAGCGCCCTAGGGATGGAACCAGGATAAAGGGGCCACACCTCCAACACACACAAAGTGCGGCTACGGAGAGGAGCCTGGGAGACACAGCTGCACGCCTCATTTCTCCCCCAACCTTCCCACAGGTGAGCGCCTACGGCTTCATCACCGAGGGACACGAACGCTTCTCTGATCACTACTATGATAAGTCATGGAAACGAACGGTCTTTTACATCAACCATGACTTCAAGTTGGAGAGGACGCTCTGGAAGCGGCTGCATGATGAAGGCATCATCTGGCTGTACCAACGTCCTGTCCTGTAACTTCCAAACCAACGACCTGACCGGAGCCGGGGCCGGGGCCACGGAGTCCCTGCAGCAGTTCCAAGGCACGGGCTGTGGTGGGAGCCTGCAGGCTCTTCCACCATTTCCCAGAGCCTGGACCAGGCTCCGACCGACTCCCTTCAGACTTCCGAGGGAACAATGGTACAGAGGAGGGGTCGCCCTCAAGATGACAAACAACTGAGGGAGGTTTTGGAAACTCTGGAGATTTGCTGTGGGTTCTGTTGCCTGGAGGTGGGGGCTCGTTCTCGACACCAAGGAACTTTACCCGAGTCTTCACTGTTCCAAAGCTTCCTGGCACAGAAGAAAGAGCCCGGACTTGCAGAGACATGTAGATTTGGGTTTGAATTCCAGATCTTCTACTTAGCAGCTGTGAAATCTTGATGGCATTACTTAATTTCACTCTAGACTGTCTAGAGGGCCCTTCCAGGAGTCATCTGGTTCAAAAAGGTCTGCACCTTTCCTTGGCTTTTGAGCTACTTGACAACTCTCTCGGTTGTAGAAAACTGAGAGCAATAAAAATGATTCTTGCCCACGGAGAGGCAAATAAATTTTGTACAATGAAACATGATTCCCCTGTGGATAGTGACTGGTTTTGTTCCTGTTAGCAAACTCATCTTAGGTTTCCTGATTGCCTACATGTGTGTCCGGACTTTGGGTTCTCCTTTGAGCCAGATTTTACTACTGCCTTCACTAATTAATGAGTTAAATAAAATCTCCAACATGTTCATTTTATATTTGTATTAGAGTCGCGATTTTACTCTTTAAAAGAAAAAATCGTCCTTTAACATTTCCTTAGGCTGCTGTTTTCTAATCTGTAAAATGACTTTCAGGGTATCCATTTCACAAGGAATTTTAAAATTGTTGTATGTAAAAAGCCTAACACAACAAAGAACTTGGCTTCTTTCCCCTCTCATTCTTTGATCCTCCCATCCATCTGCATTTTCTCAAACCCCGGGATGAGAATCTGGGCTAAGCTAAAGACGTTTCAGTTCACCGTACCCCTTCGAGCTCTATCTCCGGGATGTGAAGCCCAGAAGAACTCTAGAAGGAAAAACACACACACAAAAACCCAAAACAGACAAACAAACACACACACACTCTTTTAGACTTAATTCTCAGGTTCCAAAGCTGCTCAATACCGACAGCTTTGCTCAGTACCAAATCTGGATGGTAGGTGGCAGCATCTTGACTCCCCATTCTCCACGGTGCCCAGCTTTCCTTTTTTAGGTTTTCCTAGTTATTCCTAGGTGTTCGTTCTTCTATATGAATTCCAGTATCCGTTTAGGGTCATACACTATCAGTAGAGGACCTCCAAATCTGCCTCTTCAAATTTAAACTCAGTCTGGCCAAATATAAAGGCTGAGCCTCATTCATCTGGGTCCAAATTTGGATAAACTGTTGGGTTAGCTCACTCTGAGTAATCAGACAAGAGAAATCAATCAGAGGCATACGAATTAGAAAAGAATCCACGTGCAGATGATATGATAGTATATGGTAGAATAAGTATACTGTGTAATATTGACAGAGTAAGGTAGCAGGATATAAAATTAACGTACAGAAAGCAGCTGCCTTCACAAACATAAACAATACCCAGGGAGACGATATCACGGAGAGAAAACCTACTTACAACAGCAATCAAGAAGATAAAAACTCAGCAAGAAGTTCAACAAGAAAGGTCCAAAATCTGTATGAGGAAAACATTCAAATACCCCTGAAAGACGCAAAAGTAGATTTGGGCCAATGGAGAGTCATCCTTTGTTTTTGGAAAGAATGACTCAATATAATATATGTGTCAGTTCTCCCCAAGGAAATTTACAAATTTAACACAATTCCAACAAAAATAACAAAACATTTTTTCTAGATCCTAAATGCATACTAAAATTCATATGGATATATAAACGTGTAAGAATAGCCGGGAAAACCTGAAAAAGATAGGCTATGAGGGAGGTCCAGCCCTACCAAATATTAAGAAATACTACAAAGTCTCTATTATTAAAACAACATGGTACTGCTGCGTGAATAGACAGATGACCAGCTGAATGGGATAGAAAGTCCAGAAATCTACCCAAGTATATATGGAAATCACTGGGTCCAAACAGATTTTGTAACTAATAGATGCAAACAGATAGATAGCTACAGGAGATAACTATTTGGAAAGAGATGAAACTGGATCTTTAACTTTCACCACACATAAGAATAAACTCCAAGGGGAGAGGGTACAGCTGAGTGGCAGAGCGCATGCCTGGCATGTATCAGGTCCTGGGTTCGATCCCCAGTACCTCCATTAAAACAAATAAATAAACCTAATTACCTCCATCTCCCCTTCAAAAAAACAAAACAAAACAAGAATAAACTCCAGATGGTTCAGAGATCAAAATGTAAAAACTGAAATGCTAAGAGTACTAAGCATTTAGGAGTGGGAAAAAAAAACTTATAGGTGAATACCTCTTTGACTAAGCTGTAGGGAAGTTTTCTAAACATGATTCAAAACTCAGAGGCAATGGGGGGGGCAGTATAGCTCAGAGCATTTGCTTAGGGTGGACAAGGTCCTGGGTTCAATCTCTAGTATCTCCATTAAAATAAATAAATAAACCTAATTACCTCTCCCCCCTCAAAAAAAAAAAAAACCAACGCAGAGGCAATAAAAAATTGATATATTTGACTACGTAAAAATAATAAAATTTTGTATGGCAAAAAAGTCACCATAAAGCCAAAGATAAAAAACTAGAAAAAATATTTGCCATATATATCATGGTTAATCTATCCAATATATAAAACAATTCAAAAAAACGGAAAGGAATAAGACCGAAAACCCCATAGAAAAATGGGCACAAAATGTGAACAGCAACAACTCCCTCAAAAAAGGTATAAAAATGGCCCTTCACCATGTGGAAAAATGTTCAACTTGACTCATAAGAGAAATACAAGTTGAAATGACTCTGAAATAGTCATTTCACCTATCAGATTGGCAAAAATTAAGAAGCTTGACAATCATTTTGTTGGCAGGGCTGTGGGAAACAGGAACTTCCATAATACTTAGTAGGGATGCAAACTGGTACAGCCCTTATGGAGGGGAATTCGGTAATATCAAACAAAACTCAGAGTATAGCTCAGTGGTAGAGCACATGCTTAGCATGCACAAGGTCCTGGGTTCAATCCCCAGTACCTCCGTATAAATACCTAATCCCCCTCCACAGAAAAACAAAAAAACACTCCACAGAAAAACAAAAAACCACATACATGTTCACCTCTTACCAAAAAAAAATTCAAAAATCCCTTCTCTAGGAAGTTACCCCGAAGCTATATCTCCAACAATGCAAAAATAAAATGCGCAAGGTTATTGACTGCAACGCTGTTTGAAATTGCAGAATGCTGGAGACTGCTGAAATACTTAAACATAAGAAATGGAAACTTAAAAGAACGGTACATCCATACAATGGAGCACAATGCAGCTGAAATAAAATGAGGAATATTTACATGAACAGACACAGTGTGGTTTCTAGGACATATTTTTAAGTTAAAAAACAGAAGTAAAGACAAAAGACTATTTATAATATTTGTACCTTTTATGTAGAAAAGAAGAAATAAGAAAATACACATTTATCTGCTTGGTTTTGCAAAAAGAAACACGAGGAAATGATAACAAAAACTGGTGAGATGGTTACACAAGGGGAGTGAATAGGAACAGGGTAGGAAGGGAGTGAGAGGGAGTGAATCCCCTGAGTATATATACTTTTTGGCATAGCTTTGCCTTCGTATGTGACACAGTCCAAAAAATATTAAAATCAACAAGGATGGGGGAAATTCCAAGTGGAATGCAAAGAGAAACAAATGGACTGAACTGTTAAAGTGTTATTCATAAACACATGGAAGGGAGAAAAACTATATTTCAACTACATGTCCTCAGAATAAAGACAAAAAGAATTGTAAACAAATACTGCATTCTAATTGATAGGTTTGTTTACACAGTGCTGTGGCTTAGTAATTCTGAAATCACTTTCTGTGTACTATGGAATTGAGTAAGTGAATATATTAAGGAGAATGGGAGCCAATTTTCTCATTATCAGAAAAAAAAGTTACAACTATGGAAAGGGGCACAGCTGTAGTGAACAATGAATCTTATGGTGTTGGACTGGAACTGGAGGTATCGATGTGAACTTGTGATTTTAAATAGCTGGCTAAATAGACAGACAGATGACAGCTAGATTATGTGTAATGGGATATGTTTATGTCCTAGAGGCAATGACACTCCAGTAACAATGACCACAGGTAGTGCCCAGATCTGGGGTTCCCAAACTCCATTTTCCACTGAAAAGAACCAGGGCTTTTTGGAAAAATGGCTGATTCCACAGCTGGGGTATGGAAGGTATAAGATAAACCTGGAACATCTTTTTTTTTTAACATTTTTTATTGATTTATAATCATTTTACAATGTTGTGTCAAATTCCAGTGTTCAGCACAATTTTTCAGTCATTCATGGACATATACACACTCATTGTCCCATTTTTTTCTCTGTGATTTATTATAACATTTTGTGTATATTTCCCTGTGCTATACAGTGTAATTTTGTTTATCTATTCTACAATTTTGAAATCCCAGTCTATCCCTTCCCACCCTCTACCCCCCTGGTAACCACAAGTCTGTATTCTCTGTCCATGAGTCTTTAGATTCCACATATGAGCGATCTCATATGGTATTTTTCTTTCTCTTTCTGGCTTACTTCACTTAGAATGACATTCTCCAGGAACATCCATGTTGCTGCAAATGGCATTATGTTGTCGGTTTTTATGGTTGAGTAGTATTCCATTGTATAAATATACCACATCTTCTTT